TGATTTTTATTTATTTGACCTGTGTATATCTGTAGAAAATACGTTATAAACGTATGAATTTTAATATACTGTAGAATAATACGTATACCATATCCTTCATTTACAATATTTTTGTGAACCGTATACAAAATACTGATATACAGTAGAAATGGTATACGTTATAGACGTATGAATTTAATATACCATATCACACAGTATGTTTACCGTATACTTTATTGTATTTTTTACTAAACACATTTTGCAAACAGTATACATTATACTGATATGCAATATGTAAAAATGCAAACTGTATCAAAAATACGTATATACAGTGTAAAAACCATATACATATTTTTTATAGGGATTCAGATCCATATAGTTGCATCAAAGATATTCGCAATTCAATAATTTCACTCTGTTGATTTTTCCAATTTTCAATAAACCCCATCCAGTTAACATCAGAAATTGTTCGTTTTTTTAGATGATATTCAAAGATTTGCTGCAATAAAGGCAAATTATTCCATTCTTCTGGTGTACATGATGGAATTTGCAGCTTACTGATTAATGTTTGTGTATATTCATTATCAACTCCAAATAATTTGTTCGCATCAAATTTTGGTTTATAATCTACTTGAGACCACACATCTGCTGGAGTTTTTCCACAAATAATTTTTCTAAGTTTATTATCTTCTTAAACAGTAAGAATACATTTCTTAGCAGTAAAAGTTTGAACATATAAAAATAGTTTTTTATTAACATTATCAATAAAAGATGACTGGTATCCTTCTCCAGCATAGTTCCATTCTTGACTATTTGAAATTCCAATTCCAAAAACTACTATCTGAAGTCGTCCCACAAAAAATTCAAAAGGCTGAAATTTAACATCTTTTAGTAATTTTTCTACGATAATTTCTTGGTCAAAACCCATAACAAGCGGCCCAGAAAATTTTGTTTTTGTTCCAAAAAGACGTTTATATAATGATGTAATAGCAAATGAAGAGTTTGTACATATATCACCATTTATTAACTCGTTATTTATAAAATAACAATTTGCTTGATATCTTGGACCAGGTGTAATTTCTATATCTGCACCTAAAACAACAATAATAAACTCATAACTATTGAGTTTTGTAAGTGTTTGCATACCCAACCTTATTGGAACTAGTCGCGTCGCCTGATCGTTTATATTATTTTCAGTTGCTATCCACCATTCCCGAGAAAAATGTCCATAATGTATTTCTAGAATAATTTTTCCGGTAGTAAGGAGAGTTGTATTATAACTTTTGGTTTGACTTTTGCGTTTGTTCATAGTTTACGCGTCTTAAAAAAAATATTTGAGTATAAAAAAAAGTGGATTCAGGTTAGACCTATTTTTTTATATGTTTATTATCCCAGCTTCGTATATGAGTGTTTGTTCGATTGTTACACAGATCACGAATTAAACTATTTCATACTATCTTTAACATTTTTTTTCAAACATTTACTTTTGAAACTTTTAAAAAAATTTTTTTTTTTAGGAAATTGGTTCCGATTTGGATACCGATATCCCACAAAAGTTTCAAACATTTTACTTTCGAAACTTTATTAAACTGAAAAAACCATTTATTTGAAGATATTAATAAACGATTTTTAACATTTTTTTTTAACATTTTATTGTAGGAAATCAGTTATAACGAATCCCATAGGTG